ACGTTTATATGATTGTATGTAAAGACGTATGAATGCCAGTCTGTAATGCGTGATTCTTTTTGTCTGAATATGTGAAGTGAATGCAGATTGGTTTGTGTGTTTACATGTGTTTGTACTTCAAAGGTCAGGAGAACTAATAAGTAAAATCTTTGCATGTATGTAAGCAAAACTTGCGTGTGTTTATCTATTTATGTAAACTGTATGTATCTATCTAAAAGCGTGCAATTTTTTTGCATGTATATATGTAATTAATCGTGTATGCACATACTATTTGTGTGTATTCATTTGAGTATTTAGAAGTTATGTATATTTGTATGTTTTTATGTAAATAAGATATATCGAATGGATGTCCGCTTGATTGAGTGAATGAAGACCAGCAATTATTTTGTATAAATGTATGTTTTTCAGTTTAAAAGCATTTAAAAGTTAGCTGGTTTGCAAATTGTACAAACATATGATTGAAGTTTTATGTCTGTTTAAACGGAAAGTGTGTACACATGAGTAGTTGCATGCTTGTAAGGTACATTCCACGTCTTTTTGTAGGCAAGTACTTATACATATTCGAAAATGAGTATGAGAGGCACGTTTATATGATTTTATGGAAAGATATATCAATGCCAGTTTGTAATGCGTGATTCTTTTTGTCTGAATGTGTGTATAATTTGTCTTGAAAGTGTGAAGTGAAAGCAAGTAGGTTTGTGTGTTTACATGTGTTTGTATTTTAAAGGTCAGCAGAACTAATAAGTGAAATCTTTGCATGTATGTAAGCAAAACTTGCGTGTGTGTCTAATTATGTAAACTGTATGTATCTAAGTAAAAGTGTACAACTTTTTGCATGTATAAAGGTAATTAATCATGTATGCACATACTATTTGTGTGTATTCAATTGAGTATTTAGAAGTTTGTATGTTTTCAAATGTATAATTGCATGTTTTTATGTAAGTAAGAATTCTTGAATGCATGTCCTCTTGGTTGAGTGAATGAAAACCAGCAATTATTTTGTATCAATGTATATTTTTCAGTTTAAAATTATTTTAAATTTTGCTTGTTTGCAAATTGTACAAACTTATGATTGAAGTTTTATGTCTGTTTAAAAGGAAAGTGTGTACACATGAGTCGTAGCGAGCTTGTATAGTACGAAACATGTCTGTTTGTAGGTAAGTACTTCTGCATTTTCGTATATGAGTATGAAAGGCACCTTTATATGATTGTATGTAAAGACGTATGAATGCCAGTCTCTAATGCCTGACTCTTTTTGTCTAAATGTGTGTATATATTCGTCTTGAGAGTGTGAAGTGAAAGTAAGCTGGTTTGTGTGTATAAATGTGGTTCTATTGTAAAGATCATTGATCGTGCAGACATGCGGCTGGTAGAGCTGAAGACGGTAAGCGAGCAAAGTCTCAGTGACAGGTACTGTATATTTGAAGGATGATTGATCAATCTCTAAAAACCACAAATTTTCAATGGTTTTCATTTGAAAAATCATAATTTTGAATCAAAGTTATAAACCCACAGAAGTGAAGCAATTGTGTAATCAGATAAACAGTCAGTACCACTTTTTTTAAATTCAAGATTTATTTAGTCGATAGAGCTTTTTATGAAATAGCTCAAAATGCTTACGCCTTTTTTTAAAATGATTAGCAAGTCTTTCTGCATTGAGGCTCAAAATTTTAATTCCTCAAAGTAAAACTATCTAACAAATTTTTTGTTGTCAAATTAAACATGTCTTTGTTAGTCGTTCTAGCTTAAGATAACACAATATAATTGACGTTTATCGAAATGCATTGAAACTACAAAATGGCACTTATAAGTTTTCGGAAACTGCTGTAGCCAAATTGATGTGAAAGCGTTGTTTAGTTTGAAACAGCTATCATCCTGACGGAATCCGAAGATTCAGGTAGAGTGTTGATGATAAGGCTTGATTTTTTATCTTAAAGTTTCAAACAACTAACTTTTTTTCGAAGACATGTTTTGTTAATAGAGAAGACAAATAACGATGCAAAAATGAGAAGAAATATCACGATGCGAACTGTTTTGATACTGCTAGTGATGAGAACGTGAATGTGAAAGCTTGGATCAACTCAAACATATATTGAAAGAAAGGTTGAACTCTTGATAACACAATTAGTTGCAGATGAATAAGCAAAATTTTGGTCGAAAAGCCACCGTATTTCCGTAGACAATAGCTTAATCATGGAAACAATCAAAAAATCAGATTTATATTAACAAACTCAAAATTTAATTTGTTGAGCAGAGGGTTAATCAATGATAATAACTGATAGCGCTTCAAACTTTTGAATAGAAAGCTCTTGCTAAAGCCAAATTGAGTTAATTAGAAGATACTGAGAACAGTTGACCAGATTTTAGTATCAAACTAAAATTTAATTAATTGCATATTCTTTTAATGGAAAAATCAAAAATTTTGGATGCTCAAATTATAACTCCGAATTCATATCAAGTTTTGAGTTTGTATCCATAACTTGTCTTAGTTTGTGTTCAGTCTTTCCCGATTGAATTTGCTCCAATTTAAATAACTGCTTTCCTTAAAAGTCGCAAAAAAGTTTTCACCTGCTTTATTTGATGGTCACTCTGTTCTGTCGTATATATTGGCACACACATAACAATTTTCCCCCAGTTTCTAGGTCCGCTTTGATGAATATTTTCAAAATTTCTGTTAGCACAAAAAAGTTAATAGGAAATACTAAACGTTTTCTAGAAGCCCCGAAAATTGTTTCCTTTTTATTATAAAAAGTGGTATCTGCAAGTCTTAGAAATGGCTGCAGCAAAATTAATGTGCACTTTTGGCTTTCATCAGTGTTCTCGTTTTTCAAGATCTTTACCCACTTCAACTTATTAGCTCTTTCAACCTTTCGATAAAATCAGAGCTTTTGTCATAGATTTTAGGCGTTTTTTCAGTCTCCTGTAGACACGGAAAATGGAAATGTCGAAATTTTTAAGCCAATTTCATTATTTTAGAATTTTCAGTGTTTCGTAATTTTTCTTTGTTTTTACCTTCATTTGGCTGAACGAAATTAAATCAAAATTTAATTTGTTGAGCAGAGGGTTAATCAATGATAATAACTGATAGCGCTTCAAACTTTCGAATAGAAAGCTCTTGCTAAAGCCAAATTGAGTTAATTAGAAGATACTGAGAACAGTTGACCAGATTTTAGTATCAAACTAAAATTTAATTAATTGCATATTCTTTTAATGGAAAAATCGAAAATTTTGGATGCTCAAATTATAACTCCGAATTCATATCAAGTTTTGAGTTTGTATCCATAACTTGTCTTAGTTTGTGTTCAGTCTTTCCCGATTGAATTTGCTCCAATTTGAATAACTGCTTTCCTTAAAAGTCGCAAAAAAATTTTCACCTGTTTTATTTGATGGTCACTCTGTTCTGTCGTATATATTGGCACACACATAACAATTTTCCCCCAGTTTCTAGGTCCGCTTTGATGAATATTTTCAAAATTTCTGTTAGCACAAAAAAGTTAATAGGAAATACTAAACGTTTTCTAGAAGCCCCGAAAATAGTTTCCTTTTTATTATAAAAAGTGGTATATGCAAGTCTTAGAAATGGCTGCAGCAAAAATAATGTGCACTTTTGGCTTTCATCAGTGTTCTCGTTTTTCAAGATCTTTACCCACTTCAACTTATTAGCTCTTTCAACCTTTCGATAAAATCAGAGCTTTTGTCATAGATTTTAGACGTTTTTTCAGTCTCCTGTAGACACGGAAAATCGGAAAATGGAAATGTCGAAATTTTTAAGCCAATTTCATTATTTTAGAATTTTCAGTGTTTCGTAATTTTTCTTTGTTTTTACCTTCATTTGGCTGAACGAAATTTTTCATTCTTATTTCGGTCAAATTGATTATTAGTTTTTGCCTAAATAGAGGTGGCGGCCGCCGCACTTGACGAAATTTGCTTTCTTCGAGATTCAGCAGTAAAACATGTATTTTTGAAGGAAATCGTTCACCGCACCCAACAATTAAGCTACGCTGCCAAAATTTTGTGGTTTCCTGTATACCACATAGTTTGGTGGCATATAATAGGTATATAACGTCATTTTACATGTAAACAAGCCAATACCCCCAAACTTTAGAATGGAAAACATGCACCGACCAAAACTTAATTCCATTCCCGTTTCCACAACGTTCAGTGGGAATACTCAATAATATACCGAAGTTTTACATGAGGAATTTTAGGTATAAAATTATACATGGTGACAATTAGGATTATTACATGGTGACCATTGCTGATCATTTAATACATGGTGACCATTATGATTTATACCTAATGGTCATCCATGTATGACAACCCCCCCCCCCCCCGATCCTTACGCACTATATGCATACTACTAACGCCAAAACTTGGTCTTTGTGGTCTTTTTAGTGCTTTGAGAGCTCGGAAAATCAATTTGCCCGACCTAAAAAAATCCGCCCCCACCCTCAAGAAACCTAGATCCGCCGCCCCTGAACATATTGTTTGCAGTTTTTTTTCCAGGAAAATTTTTTTTTTTTGGCTTATTTCAGCTTCTTGTCGCATTTCAAAGATTCTTTTTTTCGTTGTTTAACGTATTATCGTGGCTAAACGCGGGTTAATGGACAAACGTTGGGCAAGAGTATGCCAAAATTTGGAAAATTGGTGCGTCGGGGGAAGGGAGGGCAGGTGGCTGCTTATTTGACGGTAGTCGACAAAAAGACGCGCAACGCGAAACAAAAAAAAGGAAAAAAATCCCTTTTAGTGCTTTTTTAATGGATCATAATTAATTTTAATTCAAGAAAAAAATTGGATTATAAAAACTGAGTTTTTTTTTTCATTTAACTTCGATGCCCCTTTTACGCATATAAACCGAACAGACTACGGTCTTCCCCGTCCCCCACCTTCAGTATACCCCCGTTCACGGTGATGAAATTTCATAAGCTCAGATGATGAAACACGAGTTATGTTTTTGACAGTTTCTTAAACTGACTTTTTTTCTGTATATTTTTTTCCAGTAGTGGACCCAGCATTTGTCAACGCGGGAAAGCAAGAGGGATTGGAGATCTGGAGAATAGTGGTGAGTATAAAATCATTATGTCATCCTCTTTGTTCAATATCAATTTGATGCCTGTTTACTCCGCTCGTGCTGAGGTTCTCGTTCGACGGAAACCGTATTCGAGTTTTTGAGCCGAACAATGACCGTTTTCGACTTTTGAGCCGAAAGTTAGCCACTTTCGACTTTTTGAGCCAAAACATGACCGTTTACGACTTTTGAGCCGAACTTTGACCGTTTTCGATTTCAATTTTACTGGAAATTGACCGACTCTAACGGAAATTGTTAATTTTTTTTTCAACTTGTTTTAATTTATTTCGATTTTGTTCGACTTTACTGAGCATTGATCTATTTAACCGGGTTGAGGTCTGCAACTTAGGCCCACAGTTCGTCGAAAATCGGTTATCGTTTGATCCTTTCAGTCAAATCACGAGTCGAGCACCTCAGCCCACGGTGTTATTTTAAAATGAGCTTTGTTGTGGCCAAACCGCTCAAACCGCTCATTTTGAAGCAAGATTTTGAGCGTAATTGTCTAAAAAAACAGCTCAAACCGCTCAAATCTTGCTTCAAATTAGGTGAAAAATCTCGACTCGGGGGGCCATGTGAGCATCTTTTCAACAAGTTTTATAAAATTATGCTGATATGCCAGCAATATGCTGGACTAAATTCTGCGGACTTATTGTATGCACTTATTCAATACATTTTCATTATCTTCAAGTCTTTATCATGCTTCAATGACCGTGCAAATTGTTTAAGAACTTGGAGGTGGTCGAGTGGCCCAAGGAGAGATACGGGGAGTTCTTCGATGGTGACTCCTATATAGTGCTCAAGGTCAGTCTAAACATCTGTAGATTCATCACAAAACAGCTGCTGCCAAACATGATAACTTGATGTAATACCTGACCCAACCTGCGGTATACTCAGTTAAGTTCAAAGAAAAAACCAACAATTACTTCATTGAAAGCTATTGTTATTTGCCAATAGAGACACATCTCCCCCAAATTCCTCTGCAACCAAATCGCTTCACAGTGAAAACAATAAAGGGAGTGGATTGAAAATATGTCCGGTGTCGCCTTCTCATAGAGTAATTTCGGATAGGGCACACTGTCTGTTCGTCATCTTGTTTTCGGCCGGATAGATTCGTGCAACTTCTTAATCTGATAACGATTCTAATCTTACTCTTATAATGTCTAGTCTCATTAGATCTAGTATATGCTGGTTTTCTTGCGAGGTTAGAGGAGAGAAAAAGGCAACGGTTAAAAACTTAATTTTTTTTTCTCTGGCTGAAACTAAGAGTAGTTTCAGCTTTACAATATATGATTGGTTAGTTCTAAATATTTTACAGTGATAGATATCAAAGTATATATTAAATACTTGTTTGAAGTGGTTCCAACCATCCGGGGCTTAGGACATTTCTTAAACAATGTTTTTCTCGTGAGAGATTCTTTGAGAAGATTGTTGATCGATTGTACTTCTTGTTGAGATTAATTAAGATTGAGAGACTGTTGTGCATTAAAAAGATCGTACTGAAGTTGTTTATATTGTGTCAATGAAGTGTCGAGTTCGTAAGTTAGAGCGAGAATACGTGCATTCTCAACTGATCATTTGCATCGATAGAGTAGTGGGATAAGGGTTGACAGCGCCAATTGACAAAGATCCGAACTTTGATTTTCAATACCGAGTTGATCAATGTTTTTGTTCAATGAATACTTTTGGCGCGATATGGGCTCCATGCTTTTAATCCAAAGAGGGTTGTAGGGTTGTGACTGCCTCAAGCAAAAGCATCAGATAAGCCATACATTATTCGGAATGCGGACAACTTTTGTATCTTCCGTTTGCTGCTCGCATCTTTACATTTTATAATATATACATTATATAAGTTACACTAAGGAAAATTGTCATTAGATGTGGTATCTGTTTAGATAGTCGATGAGTTGGGAAAGAAAAAAGTAGATTTTCAAAAGGGTGTAGAAAATTGTGAAAAGAATTCAGAAAACTAGAAAAAATATGATTAAAGAAAATTCTAAAATATCGTTAGAAATGAAAAAACAATAACGTAGAAAAATTGGACAAAAGTGATTTGAAAATGAAATTTTTTTTGAATGTCTCAGCAACTGTTCGGAAAGTGAGCACTCAGAAAGTGATGTTTCTTTTCCAACAGGTTTTCTCTGTTTTGGCGTGCCTAACGACGGAGATCGTGTTTATTTTTAATTTTTGACGAGTAATCTGGGTATGGAGAGAATTGGTGAAGGCTAGTCAAAACAGTTTGGATTTAAATTGCCAGTTTTTGTTTTCGTTTATTAGATGAACTGGATTTTTTTGTGAGATAGTTTAGCTTTAGGCAAATTGATTTTGGAATTTTTCAGTTTAGACTGATTTGACTTTTTTGCGGGGATTTTAGAGGTGTTATTTGTTCAATTTTCTTCTTTTTTGTTCCAGGTGATAGAGAGAGATTGTAATTTCGATATAATGGTAACTTGAGTTGTCAAGTTTGGAAGTTTTGCTTATTTTTCACTTGAAATTTTCTGAGTTCTAGTTATATTTCTTGTTCAATTTGTGATTAGATCGTTCAATTCAACGACGGTGGCGAGAAGAAAATGTGCAAAGAATGAAAAAGTGTTATTGGCTGATTCATTTTAACTTACTGTTTGAGATTTTTGAGATAAAAAACTAAAGTTTTCATGAAATAGGAACTGACACAGATGGATGTTTATTGTAATAGTGGTGAGAATGTAAAAGGGAAGTAGTATCAATTGAATTCAGAGGGGTCATAAAATTCATTTTCTTCAAAATTTTTGATTGTGGGATAAACGTTGTGTGGTCTTTTCTTGGTTTGTTTCGTAATCAGGATAATTGATGTTGTACTGGCTTTGCTCTTATCTCGGAAGTTAATACCTGTTCCTGTAGTTTACGATTTGTTCTTTCGGTAGTGGGTTTGACTTGTTTTTTTTTGCATTTACTGTGCGTGTAACTATGTTTTTTGATTGTTATAGTGTATCGAAAGTTGACACAACAACATGGAACCAAAAAATGATTATAATTGTGCAAGATCTCGGAGGGTGTGTTCATTTTAGTGATATGGTAGGAGACTGTTTTTGTGTTCTGTATTCGATTTTTGTCAATTGATTTTTTTTGTGACATCTGTTGGTTTATCAATATTCTAATAGTGTTGTTTTCTCGATGACTGTAGTTTTATATACTCCTTTGCGTATGGTCAAGCTTGGGATTAGAACGAGTGCTCCGATAATAAATCAGAAGCTAGCGTAAAGCGTGAATTGATTTGCGATTGAACATGGTGTCTTTGTAGTAGCTGACTTGCTAATTTTTCATAGAGTTTAAGATCCAATGCGTGTGAGTACCGCAAGCTTTCTTATAGTTTGTGGATGATCAAAGTAATCATTATCGCGAGTCTGAGGGTTATAAGATTTTGCATGATTTGATGGTGTACAATATCCTTGTGTAGTCTTCAATGAGTTGCGGGGTTTTAGTTGAAAACCTTTCGGTAGGGTGATATTCCAAAGATTGTTGTATTTTGAGAGTTGAAATGTGCAAGTAGAAACAATTTTACATCTGTTGACAATCCATTGTTTTTTTTGTGGGGAGCGGTTCACGCTTTCGACTAGTCCATTTGTTTAAGGGGCATGTAAAATTTATGGTTTGTATTTTTTTGTATAGATGGCATAGAAATATGATTTCTTGACTTATAAACTCTGTGCCCATAACCGTGATATGGAATTCTTGTGAAACAAAATTTGCAATCCAACGTTCATAAAGTGTGGTATAAGCATATTGAGCATTACATTGTGGAACTGTGTTAGTGCTACAAAAAATTGAATTTGCTAGTGCTACTTTTATTAGAATGAATGAATTTCCTTCATCTCTTAAAGCTAAGTTATTGTTTTTTTTTTCAAAAAATTGAAGTAAGCTCTTATTTCCTAAGATGGTATTAGTATCAAAAATTTATTTGGCGTGTAACAGGACCTAGTTTTTGATTTCTGAATAGTTCAGCTGTGGGTTGAGCTGCTCATGGTATTTTTTTGTAATTTTTCATTTGTTTATGGAATGTTGTCAACGGTGTTTTTTTTTCATCGAAAAGTTTGTTTTTTTTTTGTGTATTTTTCATTTGTATCTAGTGGCCTTTGATTGTACGCAGTTTTCATTTCCACTTCAGCGTAAAATTTTCCTGTGAATTTTGTGAGTATTTCGAGAGTTGATTCTATCGGCCAGTTGCAATATGACTTATCTATTAGGTAGTTTAATATTTTTTTGCTTATGGGATATCTTAACAATTGAAAGAAAAAATGATCATAGAGGTGGTATCTAATCAGATAGCCGATGAGTTGGGAAAAATAAAAGTAGATTTCCAAAAGGGTGTAGAAAATTGTGAAAATAATACAAAAAACTAGAAAAATATGATCGAAAAAAAATCTAAAATATCAGTAAAAATGAAAATACAATAACGTAGAAAAAAACGGACAAAAGTGATTTGAAAAAGAAAAAAAAATTCTTAAGATGGTAGTATCTGATTTAGTAGGTTTAGTTTTGTTATTGTGTCAACATTTTTTGTGGCGTATAACCGGACCTAGGTTTTGATATTTGCTGAATAGTTCAGCTGTGAGTTGAGCTGTTCATAGTATTTTTTTTTCAATTTCTCATTTGTTTATGGAATGTTACCAACGGGGTCTTCTGGATCATAAAGTTTGTTTTCTTTGTGTATTTTTTATTTTTTTCCAAGGGCTTTTGATTCTACTAATCATTTCAACTGCTGCGTAATATTTTCCTGTGATTTTTGTGAGTATTTCGAGAGTTGGTTCTATTGGCCAGTTGCAATTTGATTTATCTTTTAGCTAGCTTAATATATTTTTGCTTGAGACATATCTTAACATTTGATAACAAAAATGTCATTAGATGTGGTATCTATTTAGATGTGGAAAGAAAAAAGTAGAATTTCAAAAGGGCGTAGAAAATTGTGAAAAAATTACAAAAAACTAGAAAAAAAGTGATCGAAAAAAATTCTAAAATATCAGTTAAAATTAAAATACAATAACGTAGAAAAATTAGACAAAAGTGATTTGAAAATGAAAAAGAAAAATTTCTGAAAAGGTTTCGCAACTGTTCGGAAAGTGAGCACTCAGAAAGTGATGTCTCTTTTCCAAGAGGTCTACTCTGTTTTGGCGTGCCTGTCGAGCGAAATTGTGTTTTTTTTTTATTTTTGACAAGTAATCTGGGTATGAAGAGAATTGGTGAAGGCTAATCAAAACAATTTTGATTTAAATTGCTAGTTTTTCTTTTCGTTTATTAGATGAACTGGGTTTTTTTGTGAGGTAGGCAAATTGATTTTGGAAATTGATTCTTTGGGCAAACTGATTCTTTAGGCTAGTTGATTCGTTAGGCAAATTGATTTTAAAAAATTGTTCCGTTTAGACTGATTTGACTTTTTGTGGGGATTTTAGAGGTGTTATTTGTTCAATTTTGTTCTTTTTTCTAAGTGATAGAGAGAGATTGTAATTTCGATATGATAGTAACTTGAGTTGTCAAGTTTGGAAGTTTTGCTTATTTTTCACTTGAAATTTTCTGAGTTCTAGTTATATTTCCTGTTCATTTTGTGATAAGATCGTTTAATTCAACGACGGTGGCGAAAAGAAAGTGTGCAAAAATGAAATGTTGATAATGGCTGATTCATTATAACTTAACGTTTGAGATTGTTGAGATAAAAATTTAAAGTTTTTATGAAATAGGAATTGATACAGATGGAGGTTTATTGTAATAGTGATGAGAATGTAAAAACGAAGTAGTATCAAGTCAGAGTGATATCTTTGTATCTTGTTTTC